TTTTTTTTTTGATCGCTCCTTTTTCAGTCCGCCGAAGCCTCCTGACTAACCCCATAGGGTGAGCGCCAAACCGGCATCGCCAGTCGCTTTATGCATACTTTAATTGCGCCTTGCTCTCATTTTGTAGACCCTGAAGAATCTTTGTCTTGATCCTGCACTGTATCCATTGTTTCCACCTCCTTGTGCAGCTGCGCATTGTAAAGCCCTAACACATCGATCCCTGCCAAAGATATGACTATGTCGTCGCCGATCTTGCCTTTCTTCCATAAGTCATACATGTTGTTGAGGATCGTGTCCACATCGAGGTTGGGTGCTTCCCATGAACTCTGAGAGGCAGAGCTTGGGATCAAAGGGCCCAGGTAAATAGACACTTCCGAACCCACTGCAACTTCCATATCTGTTTGTTGCAGGTGTCCATTTCGTTGTGTTGTAACCCTTAATCTCTTCTTCGTGCCTTCTCCTGGCACCGAGTTGAGGACAGCCCATTGCTCCCATTCCCTGTATCGTTGAGCCTGGTGAGATTCCCACTGCTTCCATGCAGCTTCGTCCTCCTCAAAAATACATTTCTCCTGCCAGGCTTCCTCCTCCTCTTGTTGTTTGTCCCTGGCTTCTCGCTCTGCCCGAACGGTGTTCTCCTCGTTTGCCATGTCCAGCACTTCCTCCTCGAAGTTGTCTTTTCTTTTCTCTTCTTTCTTAAGCATGGAGGTCTGCATAAGGAGGTTATCGTCATTGTCTCGTTCATGAGGTGGCTGAAAGAAAGGATGACGCATCAGCAATTGGCTGCATTCTATCATCAGCATTGCCAACACTCTGAGCATCCCTTGCTGCATAATCCCAATATCCTGTGGATTTATATTCGCAATATGCTCATCTCTGTCGAAACTGTCCCTGCCTCCAGGTAATGCAGGTTGAGTTTCAACTCCATAGAACGAGCTGCGAAAACCCAGGATATAAAGCCATCTCGCTGTGGCTTCTGCCGGAGTCATCCGGTTGGGAGCATTTCTTCTGCTCCCTGCTGCCTCATGGTTTCGTGGCAGAAGCCTCCTGGTCTCCGTCGTGCATCTGCCTCTTGACCGTGACCTGGTAGATCTCGGCAATGCTGCTCTTTCATCCGTCCTTCTGCTTCTCGACTGTGATCTTCTCGACCCTGAAGCTCGGCCTTCCCCACCAGTTTCTGACCTTCGTGAGCCTGATGCTCTGGTCTCTGTACCCTCAGACCGTGGGGGCCGGGTAGGAGGTTCTCGTGGGAATGCAAGTGCATCTGCCCAATCCCTCCATCCTTGCATATCCCTCGGATCCAATCCAGTGGTTCTTGCACGGTTGGATTGCACTGCTTCCGATTCCCAACCTGTGCGGCCTTCCAGGTAGTCGATCCAATTCAACCATAATTCAGCTTCCAGCCAGACAAGCACATCCCTTTGCTCATCTTGCAAACCCACTGAATTTTCCCTGGTTTCCGTGGGTAGTCCAAGCTGTGATAGATGTTGGCTGTAGTCCTCCATATATTCTCCATCGTCTCTATCATCAGCAAGTGAAAGCAGGAAGTTAGTGGCTGTCTGGAGTGAGAGTCCTCTATTCCTCCATCTGCTAATAATTCTGTAGCCAACTTGCATGAAGTCCGGTTCCTGTTCCTCATCTCCTTGTTCCATAGTCATGGCAAAATAACTGGAGAGTATCGTGCCAGACAAACTGATGAAACCCACTTCATCTCCCTCCGCCGGTGTGTTGTTTTCGCTGGCTTGTCGTTGAACTTCCTGAGGCACCTCCTCTATGTGCTGTCCCTTTCGCTCTTGTTCCATGATCCCTGATAACTCAAAGAGTCCTGTCACATCGCCCTCCTCCGGTGTGTTGTTTTCGTTGGCTTGTCGTCGAACTTCATGAGGCAAACCTTCTCCACTGTCATTATCGGCAATAAGCTCATCCAGCATTCTCCAGTTTGCGCCAATGTACTCAGCCGCTTCTCGACCATGTTGTTGAGCTACTTGTTCTGTAGTTAGCTCTCCACTTCTTATCCTTCTCCTCAGAGCAACAAGATCCCTCCATGAGAGTCCATGTCTTGCTAGGGGTCCTGGCGCTGGTCTTGGTAAAGGGGCAGGTCGAAGATCAAGCTCCACTCCTCCCGGTGGCCTTGGTGGGCGACATACATCTGTGCTGGCACTGGCACCTCCAGTGTCCGGTTCCTCTGCTTCTCCTTCGCCTTGCGAAATGTTGATACGAAAGCGTATGTGTCCTGCAGAGATTGGCACTTGAAGGGTAGCTGTACAGCTGTTCTCTCGCCGACCTTGAGCATGCTCAGCTGTAATTTGCACTCTGGCATACTTCACCCTTTTGCCATCTTGCACCCTTGCAGCCATCCCTTCCTCCTGGTCGCTGTAGAATACATCCGGTTCCATGTAGACCGGTGTCTCCAGTCCGTCTGGTGAAGAGGGAGGGGTAACCAACGGAGCTTCACGACAGGTCATCATAATGCACGGCATCTCATCGCTCATCTTCTGACCTCTCGCAGCCATCGATCCAGGGTGCACTGGTATGAAGTTCTCAATCCTATTCCAAACCTGATGCATCCACTGAGTTATCATCCCGCTCTCATTGTTTGTAACAGCTGTGCCCGCATCATACACCACAACCAACAGTGCCAGCAATTCAGCCACGTTGCCCTCCATGTGGCCTAGTAGATAGCCTGCTTGTTGGTTTGTTGCTCGATGATTCAGCCTCCGAATATAAAGTGAGGCCGTGGTTGCTTTTTCAGCTGTCGAGAGCCCTTCAAGATTCTGTCTCAGCTCGTTCAGCAGGTTGTACCACAAATCCACCTCCACTTGTACCAAGGAGGGTGTCATCACCCCAACCAGCTCATCATGTTGCTCAGGCGAGAGCTGCCCTTCTTGGTAGTCATTCTCCCGGGTCTTTGTTTGAGAGTGCAGCAAAGGGCTCGCTGCTTTCACGCTTTCTGTACTTTGTTGCAGTGGA